ATTGAGATACTCTATAGTAGCAAAAGCAGATAAAAATTGACCCCTTTCCCTTTTCATTATCTTTTTCAAATTCTAGTATTACTGACAAAATAGCATTACTTTTCAAACTATAAATTGGTCCCGTTAGGCAAATAATCCCACAATTAAAACTCAGCATCATCCAATGTCAGATGAAACATGGAAAATTGAGAGTTCCCTTCCAATTTAATGTACCATCTCTGTATTTGCTCTCTCTAGAGCAAAGCCAGCAAACCAGAATGATTCCACAAGTCTGGAAGTTTGGTACACAAGCACAACATACATTAGGAATAAGTTTCAGTGAAGGAGTTTAAACAGAAATTGTCTTTTAAACTTGTATTCTAGTGACACCTTGTGGCTACATTTCTCTTATTTTGAGACCTCTCAAAATTCTTCATTGTCTTGTAATTGCTTTAATGAAGTTCTTAAAAATTTGTGGTCTAGGACAAAGTAAAAAGACGAAGTCGCTAAACAAAAATGAAAGGATTAAGAAAATGAGAAGTATAAAACAATAATCAGCACTGTCTGTTCAAAGATCTTTAGAGGTATTAACATTAACTTAATGTATTTGCACTTTTTTATCCCCAAAAAAGAGGTATGGCTTAGAATCACAACTCTGATATCTCAAATTGAAAATCTGCCTTTTTTTTTTTAATGAACTATTGTTGCTTACCCATATTCAAATTGACATCCTCATAGGTTATAAAAAATACAAGCAGCTCTTTTATGATTTTGTCACTGACTTCTTGAAACACAATACAATTCAACGTTGTCAGGACTATGAACAGAGTAAGTGCTATATAAGAGAGAGCTAACTTTTTAATACAATCAAGATGATGGTATTCATTTTTTTCAGGTTAATGACAGGGTAAACGGTTGGCTTAATTAACAGGTACCTATTAAAAATATTTGGAAAAAGGAAAGCTCTCTACAACTACCTGAAAGTGGGTTGTGGTAATGTGGGTGTTGGTCTCTTCTCCCAAGTAACTAGTGATAGGATGAGAGGAAATGGCCTGAAGTTGGGCCAGGGGACGTTTAGACTGGATATTAGGAAAAATTTCTTCACCGAAAAAGAGTGGTGAAAAGTGAAAGGTTTTAAAAAAAACAAAAACAAAAACAAAAAACCCAACCTGCACACATGCAAATAGAAGATATACTCCATCAATTTTTATGCTCATATAAACGTTTGAATAGCTTCTTAAAACTCAGGTGAACATGTGAGTTCAGTCCTTGACAGCTCTCACCTTGCATAACTAGTATTTATGTGAGAGGTAACTCAATACAGCAACTAACCTTGCCTAATGTTACAAGGCTCATGTTTTCTTTATAATCTATGTTTGAACAATTGCTCATGTGTGTCAGACACAAACACTCTGTCCTTCAACATCAGAAACAGAATCTGGCATGTCCTACTCCTTTGTTTTCAAAAAAAGGTGTGTAAATAAAAACCACAGCCAATAACCCTAGCCTCCAATTCTACACTACTACTCAAGAAGTCATCCTACACAGTGATCCATAAAGCACTTTGAGCTAAAATCAACTTTTTTATTAATAAAAAAAACCCTAAAACACCACCTATTTCAAATCTATACTGGTAAGAAACTGCACTGTGAAAAGATACTTAGTCCAGCATCTTCCACTGACACAAAAATTTTAAAAAATTGCTGCATGGTTCCCCAAGTGGTTCCTTGCAAAGAGATTATTATCTGCATTACTAAAGCAAAAGGGGAATACATGTTAAAACTAATGGCAAGAAGACAGAGCAAAGCATGACACTTGCAGTCTGCTTCTCTACTTTTGTCCACAAACAGGAAAATTTTGGCACTGGGGACTTGCTGCACTGACTCAAGAGTACATAGCAGAAGCAGCACTGAGCAATATGAAAACATAACCAGTTTTGGATGTAAAGAATGTACTGATTAACCTAATGCTAATAAATGTGAGTGATTTGCTGAGTTCCATTACAGTCTTCCTTTAAAAATGAGGCAGGCATTTCCATCTTCAAATGAAATAAATGGGGTTTTTTTATTATCTGTCGGTAATCTGGTAACAATTTCTTTCTAAACAGAGCACATATACCTGTCCAATTGATACAGAGACATAACTATCTTGTTTTATTGTTTGTTTCCGCACGTCACTTTGGTAAGCATGCATAACTTATCTGTAAAAACAGAATACCAAATACTAAAACAGTATGTTCTGACATAATCTCGTTAGCTCATACCTTAAATCTGTGCTCACAACACTGTGAGATAATTTTTTTTAGACAGCAAAAAACTGCTACGTATTTTATGATTTCTGTTTTGTGTATGTTAGTATCCTAGAGATAACTAGTTTAACTCATTTAAATAAACAAAACTATTTTAAATACATAATCACAAAACCCTGAAATTAGAGACAGAAAAATAATCTATTCCTCCTTGCTTTCTTTTTATACAGAATATTAATTAAAAGACATAAACAGAAGTCTCAAATACTAATATGTATGTGTATGTTGCCTTCCCCATTGAAAGCCTCTCTTTTGGAGGCCAATTGGTCCAAATCCCTGATTAAAGCAGAGACAACATTCAAGTCGGATCTATTTATATTAATATAAATAAACAAATGCAAAGTTCTTAAAGTGTAACTCCTCAAAAATTGTCAGCAATTTTAGGTTTCTAATTACATTTAGAATAGACTTTTCTTCTTATTTACAGGAAAAAACACATGAAAAGAACAATAAATTAGTCACAGTACTTTTACTTTTGACTAGCAAATGCACTCATAATTAACGTAGGCTTCAATTCACTGATGCAAAGAGAGATTTTTATCTCTCTTTTTAGCTTATATCTAAACTACCCTGAGTTATCGTGTTGACTCACAACTGAGAACTCCTATCGCCTTAAGGTTACTGCTCCTTAATAATAAGTACTCATACACTTATGCTATGTGAGTTTTTCTTTAGCTCTTTCACTCACTCTTCAAAGTAGCTGCACCTCCAGGGAATTCCCCAGCACTTTGTGGATATGATAATGAGGAACAGAGATTAACAGAAAATAAGAGGTTTACTGGGGATCATGGATCAGAACAGGAAAAATGAGAGGCATGAGGACTATGTGATAACGAAATCTGTACCGTGGTTACCTGGACAACTGTATACTTCAAATATTTGCTAAAATAAAACTCCAAGGGGGAGGTTTCCAGGTGTGCTTGTACAGGCATTTAAGTAGATAATATATAGCTATGCATCCAAAAACACCACGAGATAAACTCCCTCCTGATAATCTGCTCATCCAATAGAGTGCAAGTCACTTTCAGAGGATTAAGAGATCACCAGAGAGGCAGAATTATACAAGAGGTCCCTTTGTGCCAAAAAAAAAAAAAAAAAAAAAAAAGTAAGGTGCCACCTAAAACTCTGGAATAACATTCCCCTCTCCACTCTTCCCTCTCTGCACTTTCAGGCAAGGCTACAAAGAGCCTTCATCAAAACAGAACAATGATGCTCTCAAAAGAGAGCGTGCACACACACAGATGAAGACAGCTGGGGGTGGGGCTGGAGAATGACATAGATAAACTGATGTTGAAAGAAAAAAAAAAAATCACTTTTGTACAGGTCTTTGGATGAGGACAAGGAATGGCTGCCGTTCTGAAAGAAGATGAAGGATCCACCACAACACCCTGGACCTCTTCAAACCTTCTTGCTAATATGATGGAAACAAAAAAGCTGTGCTTACTAAGGATCCATCCACTTTGCACCAAGTTAAGGTCATGCATACACAAAAGTACCCCAAGGAAATGTAGAACACCTATAAACTCCATGAGGCATTTCATCATTGATAGATGATTTATCACAGACAACTTTAAGCAAAAATTTATCAGATACACCCACAAACTAGGGGACAGCGCCAACCATTTCAGAAACAGAAAACAGTAAAATCAGTATCATAAAACTTACAGAGAAAAGGTGAAGAATGCATTTGTTTGTATGAGGAAAAATAAATTTCAAATCAGTTACATTCAGTATGAACTTATTAAAAGGACAGGGAGGCTGAGGAGAGACAAGTGACCCACCA